AAATGTTACAAATCATTAAACATTAAAATGGAGACGTTTTCGCGTTATGTTTTCTCAACTGTTAAATGATATATCGCACAATGTAGTGCTGTACGTGTGATCTTTATTATTTCTCATCTCTTGTCGTTTTGTCGTAAGGATGATATACGGGGTGATCTTTAAGAAGCGTTGACAGCTATAACAATGATAATCAACAATGACAGAATCAACAGAAGTCGATAACTTTGAGCCACGAAGACTCAATAGTTATCCGCTCTAACGCGCAAAAGGCCGATTTCAATTACGATTTGATTCTTATTTTCTTATTTCGACTTACGCTTTAGATATATTTATATATATATATATATTTTATATATAATTCTTGTATATATATAAACACACCTACGATCAACAATTCGATAAACCCTATTCCGTAATTTACACAATCTACACATAGACGTTTTCCCGTTTTCCATTAATAATAATTAGACATCGCGATGTTTTCTCTCACATGGCACACACACGCATGTACACGCAGGCACGCAAAACAGGCATAAACACTCCACTTATTTATGTGACTATGACGAGGCCCAATTGCGAATAAATAACGAAACAATCGTGTCGCGTCTTAATCGTGCGGCAATTGATGTTCTGACCCGTTTCCACGTGACATTAAATGTGAAATCTATTGACGAGCAGGATAGTATGACACTAATATCATTCCCGACATCACGACATCGCAACACTCCTTAACTTATACCATGAAGATCGATAGCTGTCAGAAATTATGCTCTTCAAGCTTTCATGGCAAAATAATTGGATTCATGAATTTATGATTAATTTATATTCATTAAGATTGAAAAAAAAGAATACAGAAATACATAAATATAAATAAATAAATCACAAGCGAAATGTGAATTAGCTAAATTTACAATCGATTTACAATGATTTTACGGATACTAGCTTTCTTATGAATTATTTAATGATATCGCGTGATTAATCCTGTTTGAAATTATTAATATTTTATTATTATCACGTGGGACATATCACCGTAATCGTGATGAATGTACAGTAGGAAAGAAAAGAACATGTCTACATAAACGTGTCAATAGAACAAAGCAGATTAGGTATTAGTTCTTGTTACAGTGACAAATTTCTCATAATCACATTTATTACGATTATAATTGATGATGTAATGACAAATACAATATTTAATTTAATGTCACATGAAGAAGGGACCAAAAAGGGCAGTTACTTTGTTACACGGTATTATACCTCTGTGAAAACGGTGTTCGTACCAGCAGACTGTGCGCTATTCTTCGTATTTCACAAGTATAAAATATTTAACCTCCATACGCGTTAATCGTCCATTCCGCAACGCGACTGTCGGATAACGTAATTGACAACGCCGTTGACAATGAGCGGTAGTAAAAGTGTTGTCGTTACAAAGCATCGTATCCTTTGTCTACCGACATTATTCATTGTCCCATTAAATGGACGACTTTTATGTAAAAGGACCTGAGTGCCTTTATGTCAAAACTGAGAAGTAAGATTCTAAAAGTTCTTCCTATTATAGGGAATGTAACAGTTTTCTGTGCTGTAATTTACAGTAAAGTCGTAGGATCTTAATCTACTTAATAAATCATACGAGACTTGAAATTTAGCTATTAATAATATCGGATTAATAAATTTTAATTTGAAAGTATATATACATTTATACAAAAAGATGGATTGATCGTTTTATCGTCGCTCTTAGTTGTTTTCATATGAACATTTCCAAGACGGCAGAGATTTACTCCGTAAATGTCGCCAACTCAAAACGAGCATAACCGACACTTGGTGCCATTTATAGAAAAGCCGCCTGAATGGAAGTAACAACATGGATATCTAAGATTAGACTCGGGAGAAAAGCGATGTGGACCCTTGAGATACCGATATTTATAATGAGCCGTTTTAAATAACATGAATAAATTTTCTAAAATAAAGAAAGAATAATGAAGGCGAACATTTGGCACGTTTTCCTAATCAGGACGAGTAATTATCTCTCACTTTCGTCTGCGCGCCTCGTTGTAACTGGGCCAAATTACGTATAAAAAATCGTTTACCGAGCCGTCGCATTTTCGGCGGACCGCAAATTTCCCGAAAATTTGCATAGATGCGTATGAGTCACATAAGCATTATTTATAAATGAATCCTAATATTAATGTGAGACATGAAAAAAATTCAGCTCAAAAAGAAAGGTGAAAGCATGACTTTTTTTCGTAAAAGTTTTTTTATATAAATAGCTCGCGTAATTTTTGCAAAAATGAGATTATTTTCAGCAATGTTTGCTTTTAACATCGATAAGATGGTAAGCAATTTTATTTACTATTATTTCGCACTCCCATTTCTTGATATGCGAATATTTTCTCGTGATATTGATTGAACATCTATTATAATCCAATATTTGAATTCTGATGATCAGGCAGGTCGGCAATTAGTTATTTACAAAGCATCGTTTTATCTAGAAAATTCTATTTCCTACTTTTTTTGCTTAAAGCATGTATCAGTATTTCTTCCAATTTCTCGTGAAGTTCTTTTTGTGGCATAAGAATGGAAAGTTTTCTCTTGCTTAATAGGATCTTCTCGACTGATTCAAATGTAATATTACGTTATATTCTTAGAACAGAATAAAATAAACCGAGACTAAAACCACGAAACATCCGTGTTGCATGTTGAAGAAATTAAAAACGACGTAGTTGTCTGAGTAATGTCGAGATGTCGAAAAGAGAAGCGTCTCTGTCACACGGCTCGATCGACATAGACATTTAATAACGAAATTACCGATAAAAATATTTCCGTCCAATTGTTTGTACATGAATATGTTAATGAGAAAAATTTCAATTACCATCTTGTCATACGCGCTAATGTTTTTTCCATAGAAAAAAATCGAATGTAGCTGATATAACTGTATAAAGTATAAAGGATAATGACACTTTTTTTTATAATCCAAAAAAGTGTCTCGGCATCTTTGAGGATATATATTTCATGTATTTTGAAAAGAAATAAAAACTTATGAACAAGATTACATATTTTCCTATATTGTTTTTGTGAAAGTAAATTCATTTTTTCATCTTTATACAGAAAGTATAAATTTTCCAATTTTAGTCACTTTTGGCAGAGACATTTGCAAATTGGTATATCCGATATATTTTTAGAGAGGTTGCAATTGTGAACGTTGACTATACACCTGATACATCCTTAAAGCGATTGAAATTGTGAACGTTGACTAGTGCAATGTAAAATTTTTCAAGAATGTTCCTTCCTTCGCCTAGTGCCTGTTTAGAGATTCGAGAAGGGTACGCAATACAAAATTGTATTTCTTGGGGATACGAGTTGGGTGTACGCATTGCGAATTCACGCACACGAACGAAAGGCCCAATACTATACGCTTCTCGATCGTGCAAAATCGGCGCTGGATCAGACGTTGATGGTTACGGCAGCTCGTTCCACTCGATCGCGTCTAATGTGAAATTTGCTCGATGGAAATTCACACGTTAATTAAACACACGCGATTTCTCACAGCAGTCATTCTGGAGAGCGCTTCCTCTCCGGTAACGGTGACCACTCGACGTGAACGACATTTGTGTAATGAATTTCGCATGTAACCGCCTCGCCCATGATCTGACATTTCGAACGCAAATTAAAAAAATGGCGATTTAATAATTATGTTGACGCGGAGACACGGCTAGCTAACGAGATATCTCGTTAATCCGTAGACGGATAATCGCGGTAACCGTAACTCGCGATGATGACGCGAACAAAATTTCACGATCTTCAGTCTGCCGTTAACGTTTCGTCGATATTCACTTGCTGTTAATTTACACGAGCATTAAGCGGAAGAGCGGCCACGTTGTTGGATCGATGCCATACGAAATATGGACGGCTTGTACTATATAAAAGAAGTCGCGGTTTTTATAATGCGAATAATGTCGGTCTTCATAATGCAAATAGTAATGAAAACAATTTTTTGAAGACATTTTTCTGATGATCAATTATTTTGAGACGTAAGATTAATTTACCAATAACATACAAATATGAGTTACAACGAATTATATATAATAATATTCGTAATCGATAAATTATATTTATAATTTCACGCGAAGAGGAAAAAATCTATTTTCCGTTATTCGACTGTAAATTATATACTGGAAAAAAGTAGAACGTAATAGATTTCACAGTACATATATCTTATACATAAATAACACGCGAACATAACTAAAACAGCAAAATCGACGCTTTATTTAAAAAAAATGTCTCCTTTAAAGATAAAATCATCCATATTTTGCACTGTCGTACGCTAGTAGTCGGCTTGCTTCGTTCACGTGATACGCGTTGCATTACTTAATTTAACATGTTGCTCATTAATTCGGTGCTTTTTGAGCTTGCCAAGTTTCCGTTATTTCTATGTGAACATTATTATTAGCATTCGTTCTCGCATATCATATTTAAATTTCATGAAATGCGTTTTTTTTTCATCACCGAAACGCGAGCCGGTAATATTTAATTACCGCGTAAAGTTGACGTTGATAGAGATTCCGAACCTATATACAATATATATAATTTTAATCTGTCATTTGTTACGAATAAAATAATGAAAACATAATTTTGTTTTCATTAAAAAAAAAAAATCGAACTGATAAAAAAAATTATCACGCAAAGGATTAAAATAATAGTCGAGATGTCCGGTGTCAATTTATTACCTTCCGATTTCTGCAGAAGAATTTTGTTTAACGGTTTTTAGTGAGCCTTGTTATATTTACAAACGTATCATTCAGCACAGTAGTCGCTTCCGTTTAAAGTATTGTATTAATTTTCCGTCAGGATTGACATGATATCGAGATTCGACAATAATATCATGGATTGCCGAGAACGCGAGGCGACGGAGCTACTCTGTCGCTATCTCGGAGTTTCCTTAGGTTAGCGAATCGAGCTCGTGGTAAACGTAGTTTGCGTTTAAGGGCAAATAGGTTACGTCTATCTTACGTCGAAGCGACCAAGTGGTGCAGCATGATCAGGACGATGCCGATCGTCGCCGGCGGCGCGTTGTCTCTCGACGTTGTAGACGCTGAATTGTCGTCCGCGTCGAAGGCTGGCTCCAGGGTCGATCCTGTTTCCCTCAGGGATCCTTGATGCGCGTGGTTCAATCTGTGATCGCGATCACCAATCGAGTCGCCCGCGTCATCCTCTGATCGCCGGTCGCTGCCCTTTTTGGAATGTTTAGGTAACTCCATGTCTGTAATAAAACAAGAAGGGAAGAGTTTAATCAATATTTTTCTGAATAACATTGTTCCCTACTTCAAAAATGACACAACTCGAAAAATTAAATTTTTCAGAGAAGAAGAAGAACTATATATATATGTGTTTCATTTTACTTAATCTATACATTTCTCTTCATCTCTCTCATTTCTGTTTTTGAGTGTTTTGAATAAATTGCTGTACTTAGAGAAAGAGACAAAAAGAGTTACATAAAAGCGAGGATTAAACGCGATCTTTTACAAGTTGTCGAGTCGATGTGAAGAATGTTAAGTGTTGTCGATACTTCTGTTACGCACGTGCAATGAGAGCGCCAGGCTTGCAGTTTCTTCGCTATCGAATTCAAGGCACGACCGTCGAAACATTATTTCAACTGTGGTCAGCCAGTAGCCGGCGCGATCCGGTGTGAGTAGATATCATTTTTTTTCCGCATGTGCAGAAGCTCGATGGAGGGTATCGCACGATGTTTTTACACTCAACGTCATTCGACACACGCGAGACGAATAAAAGTGAAGTGAGAATTCTTTTTTGGAATTTCGTGCTATACTATTGTTGCGCGCAATGGAAAACGAATCGACTCTCTCCTTTTTTTTTTTCCATTTATCTCCAGAAATTCCTTTTTCGAAGTAAAATATATATATGTGTATATTTTTTAGAAATATTTATCACATGAACTTCCCCCGAATATATCCTTGTCTTTGACATCCCTCGGATATTTTTTAGCGGTGCTTAATATCCGTGGCACGTTTCATTCAAATTCAACGAGCGAATGATGAGCACGTCGATACGTGATAGCGGGAAACATGATGTTGCGGCAGAGGGGAGATACAACGATATGAGACACCATTATCTCTCGCATGTAAGGAGATCAATCGGTATGGTTTGCTTTAGGAAATAATCGACGTTAATTTCCCTTACCAGTTTAATGTACTGCAGCTTTAACATAATTCTCGCATGTGTGATTAAATTCCATCTGTATTAAGCATCATTGAGAACTTCGCAATTACTAGCTGCTTTTATTAAGTTTCTCCTAAATGTCGGTTTTCAAATTATATTTTCTAAAAAAATATGTACTTGAAAATCGATTCAAGTCGGCCAGAATAACTGGTGAAATTTGATTAGGTAATTATTAAATGTTGAGACGTCCCGTTTCGTCCTATGTGAACAGAATTATATTAACGTAATGTGATTCGTGTAACGTTAGAATGTCTAACTCCTATATTGATTATATAGCTTCGACGAAGCTACTAAATACCAAAATCACAGAGCTAATTGACAAGATCATGTTTCAATGATATTGAATTAGATGTGCTCTCTACTAGCCATTTTGCTACTTACTCATTACGAGGCGCTCAAACCGTGCAGTGAGGCACAGTTTCCATCCTAATTTTCCTTTTGCTCGGTTAACTCCACTCAGCAATATTGCTAATGAATTTAATCCGAATATGACGTAAATTCTCTGGTAAAAATTTTACCTTCGCGTAGAAAATTCGCGATTTTGAACGCGTAGAAACCTTTTATCACGATATAAAACATTTTCGCAATTACATTCGTCTGAGTTGTTTTTTTTTTTTCTGTTCGGGGATTTGAAAATCGATTCTGCAACGGTCGAACAATTCCTTCGAGAGGAAAATTTATCTCAGTAAGTCTGCGACACCCCGTATACAGCTGCTGTGAACGAAGAGACAGGTTGCGGTAGACCGGTGCCGGTGGTTAGAAGAACTATAAGAAGAAGTAGAAGTGGAAGAGAGGGTGCGGCAGCCCGTCTAAATAGCAGTTTAGCACTGATAACACTTGGCAGACTTTTATCGATCATGTCTGGCAACAGATGGCTCACCCAATTCCGGACGGCGCGTTTTGTCTGGTCGGCTGATATAAACGATAACTAATACGAGACACAAGAGTACGTGGGATGATGGGGAGCAAGAAAAGAGATAACGGCGGGCTGGCGGTCAGGTTAGATATTGTTTCACGGTCTTTTAACCGGAGACGTGATGCTCTGACGATCTTTGCTATTGTTTCGTAGCGCTTTTTTGACGGCGGCCAACTTGTACCGCCTAATTTAGAGGAAACTACAATATTATTGAAAATGCAAGCGGAGAAAAATTTCAAACAGTTTTTTTTTTTTTTAATTAAATTATTTATATTAGCGATAATATATATATATATTTTTTTTAAGTACTGCTGTGCTTTTTTTTTTCTTAAAAAAAATAGTTATCTTAATTTTTCTTCTGTAATAAGTTGAAACCGTCAAGAAGTAGAAAATTGAAAGACTGAGAGTTACGCACGTCTAATATATTTCAAATGATTAGAAGTCGGTATAATCAAATTTTTATATGGAAGTAATATCGATCATTTAATACAGACGACTCATCCGTTAAACTGTGCCACGGGATATGATAAGAGAGAGTATCGAAGGGAGACACTCCCGTATAATGTAATATCTCAAGAGAAATCAAATCCGCGGACTTATAATTTAAAGCAACGCGATCTTCATTCCCGAGTTACGCTTCTGATATTGAGTCCTCATTTATCAAGGTAAATCCATAATAATCCCAACCGTACGCAATCTGTGACAAGAACATCCCCGGAAGAACGGCGGAAAAGAGAACACGAAAAACCGGCACGGCACGGCCAAACGGGACGAGGTGATGGCGGGATGGAAAGCTTGGATATTGTTTCGCGGACTTTCGGCTCTCGACATGACGCGCCAACATGCCGCCACTGTCCTCGTACATTCCATATAGCTTATACCGGTCCTCGCCCTGCACGGCGCCCTTAAATCTACCGAACCACCCTCCCCAGGCAGCGTAGACAGCGCACGCTCTTTTCACTCTGACTCTTCGCGCCCCGTTTACACCGGCGGTTTAACTGTTAATCCTTCGAGTTTATCTGATCGCGTGACTTCAACGAGAAGTTCGAGCATGCCGGGATAGCATCGCGCGCTTCCTCCGCGCGTACACTCGCTCTTTACACGACAGCACGATAAAATTGCCGTCATTAGGGTTGCACGCGCGCTCGGAAGCCGGCGGGGGTGGTTAACTCATAGATATCAGGCTCGGTTTTGTCCAGCTTGTTACGCCGTTCTATTCGTGTTTCGATAAAGAGATAAACTAAGGACTGGTAAATTCTTTTTATTGAAAAGTAGCGACGGAGGAATTTTACATGCAGTGTAGTGGCCAAAAGTTTCCGGCCAATGTGAATAATTTTGTTATATATACTACTCGGATAAAGAATCTTTACAAATAAAAAGATCTCTATATAGTACACAAGTATACTTCTAGATATTTTAGTATTTAAAATATTGTGTTCTTATTTATAACACGGATTGTTTTTTGTAAATAAAAAAGACTTCTATACATTGAAAAATAACACGTAAGTGTATGTATTATTATATTGTAACCTTGTTATTATTACACATTGCCTACGAAGCAGTCATATTCTTCAATTAGTCCATATTCTTTAAATAGAATAGAATTAGACGAAATATGTAGAATGAAACTCTTAATATTAAAACATTGTAGCTGATGAAGACATTGTGTGTCGAAACATTTCGCATAATGCGATATACTTATTTTTTTAATGATTATATATATAGTTTTATAAATTAAACCAACATCCAATAGATTATATTTATTGTGTTTGTTTGTTGGTTTTAATTCTCCTTTATGATTGTTTTTTACATTATACACGGACAAATGTTTTTAATAGAATATTGTTTTTGATTGTACAGTACGATAAGAATTTTATGAACTTATAAAATTGAAAAACAGATCATTGACAAAAATTATCGTAAAATTATATATATTGGCCGGAAACTTTTGACAGCCATTGTATGCTATATTGTTATTTCTCGAGATTCTATAGTAATAGTAAATTCTGTTGCCTGTTCTAATCTTCTTTATACCTCTTGTGACTTGTGTTAAGGTGTTTTGACATGCGCACAGGAATGCAGATGCTGATCGCACCGTCGCGTGTGAATCTGTAATTTTATACATGCTTCTCGTCGATAACTTGCCCGGAATTTAGCTCCAATCGCACGACGACGACGTGTAGAATTTTCGCTGCGATAACGCGGATGTGAAGCTCATGACATATAACGCGATAATGTAATAATTTTTATTGCCAATTTTTTAGGCGGATTATAAAAGCTACATTCCATAAAGATGCTAATTTCATAAGAAGAAATACCTAACATTATTCATTCTACCTCGTTTTGAATAGGAAATTTATGAAATATTGCAATATGTTTTAAAAAGTATTAAAAAGTGAAAATTACAGGCGCGCACTGAATTATTTATAAAAGAAGATCATAAAATAGTAAAACGTATGAATAACACATGAATATGAGCATTACACATCGCATCCTTTGTGAATAAGCAAAATTAATGCCAAAAACAGAAATAATTCTGTGAGTATGTACTATGCTTTATTACGATATTATTACGGTTACGGTCGGAATTGGATCGATATCTATTTCGTTTATTTAAAAGGGCTAAAGTGAGTACAATGAATCGATTTGTTATATTTATTAAGTATTGTACATCATATCAAATTTTTCTTGTCATCTATATAATTTGCGACATATATAAAACATAATGATAGAATGAGGTATATATCCGTCCAACCATATATTACAGAAATATTATTTTGTTTCACATTTCTATAAAATTCTCTCTCACTATTCTATAGAAAATAAAATTTCTATTTTACAAAAACTTCTCTCGCGATTTATTTTAGAAATTGTTAGAAAATGCTGCTTCATTTAGATCAAATAATTTCAGAGGTTGTATTTGAAATCACATTTGCTTGAATATTATATTATTTAACCAGAGCTGGTCTCATGTATCCCTATATAATTGTTGCTGTCTTTATTCAAGCCTCAAATGTATAATAACTATGTTCTGTTAGTTATTGTCTTCGACGGGAAATTTTCTCAATCTGCCAGGAAATGGCAATTTTTTAGAAATCTTTTTCGAGAATGTCCCTCCTCTAAATTTGTCGCCCTCATGCATAACTTATGTTAGCCAATAATACGTTATTGTACTTATAATTATCATGACCAAAAATTACAGAAAATTCCAACGTAGAAAATGGATTGATTATGCTTGATCGTATGCTATTTCGTGCCAGGAACGCAGGGTAATTCTCAGCTTCGTTGAATTTTCTCCCGCGCTATAAAGCGGAAAATTATGTGACGCGGAATCCGGTAAATAAACTGTGAAAAAATAAGGATGCGCTTCGAGAAAAATAAGCGGGAAGTTATGGGCGCATTTACGGCTGATGACACACCGGCGAGAGGACCGCGCCGTCGAGCCGCGGAAATATATGCCTTTTTTCATTCGTTTTTCGACAGTAAAAGGGGTCTGCGTACATGCTGTAAACGGATCGTAACGTTCAATCAGAGTGGAAAATTATGGGGTACCGCTCATGAAGACTTATTGCGGTCGTAGAGTCATCCGTCGCATGTACAACGTGAGATACCATCGTGCTATCCAAAATTTTAGCTTTAATCACACATATTTTATATTCCTTATCGAGTGTAATAAAATTTTAATGTTATATTTGTCTTAAATTTTAAAGAGAAAAGAAAAACGATATTGAGCTGAAACTTTTTTATGTTAAAAAATCTAAAAAATCTTACAATTGCTCCTACGTATCTAATTTATAGATTATTTTCTCTTAAGCAATTAATGATTTTAAATCGTTACAACTCTTGTTTTCAATTACTAGTGTTTTTGTTTTTAATTTCAGATATTCTGTGATTTGTGTGTTCCTACATAACGTTACTACATAATGTGCATAGAATGTGTAAACTTATTACTGTAGAACGTTTAAATGTTAAGAATGTTAAAAGGAGGTATTTTCGGGAAGAAACAGTGTGGATTGTAATCATGTTTTAACCGATATTGCAAAGACATTTTGAAGATTACTGACTTAGGTATTTCATGGCTGGCGGTTGGTGGTGGTATTTCGCAGACACACAATAGAAGCGAATTCCATAAATATTATCAGAAGAGTACAGTATTATCTGCGTCATGAAATAACTTACGGTTACGACGGAGACGTGGCTAAGAAACTGCGGAAATTCCGATCTGTCTCGCGGCCGCCGGTCTCTCCGATATCTTAAATAGTAAAACTCGAGAGGAAACTTAATTTCGCAAATACCGATACTTGTAGTGACAGCCGTGCGGTTTCTTCGAGATAAATTCCTGAGATTACCAAAACGACGAGAGTTAGTGTCAGAAATATTACACAAGTGTATGTAAAATATTTCTGTCCTGAGATTTTCACTTTAGCTTACTTTTATTACTGTCTTCCGCGCCCTTTGTTATACAATACGCGCCAAGTCACGTACGAAGGAAAAATAATTAAAAGATGAAAAAAATAAAATCTCGAGTTCACTTTCAAGTCATAAAGTATTTTATATCTTTTATAAACGAGAGCCTTACGTTGTTCATTGCACTTGGCTGTTCAATGTTCGCGATGAATGAACGAAAATAGTACCAACACAAAGAGACGTGCGGTTTTTTTTTAATTCTACAGGTAAAGCTAATCATTCGTTATTTTTACGGTGATGTATCGTTACGGGCGACAAGAAATATACCATCGTATCGCGTAATACACGAGATGCTCGTTGCCGTCGATCGTTCCTGCGAGATTGCGACGTATTAAATCGTGCATGTAATGGAAACGGCGATGTCGCAGTGATACGCTGTACTTTCTCGCCGTCTTGGAGCAACTACGACCGTCCTCCGCAATCAAATACATGTCTCTGATATCTAAGGCTGTTTCAATGCTTCCGTAGAAAAGCTTTCACTTTCAGTAGTGATATGAGATATTTCAAAATGGACGTAAACATACTGCACGTACAGTTTAATCTACTTTCGAAAAAATTTCGTAATAACATTTCCGATATTGTACTATCCTTTTAATGTTATTGGATTAGCTTCTTTTCCAACATTCGAATACTTTGATCTTTATAAGACGGAAAAGTCACTATAGTGGCACTGAAACAGTACCATATTTTAAGACAAAGAATGCAATGAGATAATAAATTATAACAAATTTAACTTAAAGGTAAAGCTGCAAGATTTTTAAATTAAATCCCCGTCTTCTAAAGGTTGATAAATTCCAATTACCTGATTTAGTAACAGAATTCAGCATGTCCTTCCCATTTAAATCTAAACTGTCTTCGGACTGACTACTAATTTTTTCAAAAAATATAATAAATGCATTAACTCCGTAAGAGAATTTATGACGGTACGACGTCGTTTGTGTCTGACGAAGTTTCCCAAGACTTTCCGGAAGCCCCAACTCGCGTAGAGAGAGACTTTACGACCTGTTTTCGCCCTTGTCGACGCGTTAACCGCAGAAACTCACCATAAAGCCGGATGTTCCCCTCAGCGTCGCCAATGGAGTTTTTCGAGATGCACTTGTAACCACCCAGATCGTGTTTCTGCAGGTTCATGATAACCAGTCGCATCTGCACACTGTACACTGACGTCTTCACCTCGGACATGGCATACTTGCTGTTAGTGATTATCATTTCGTCTGCAGAAATACATTTTGGAAAATTAAATTAACAAGAAATAAAGTTAAGTTTTATACTTTGAAAAAAGCATTTCTATTAATCGACACAATTTCTGATTATAGATAGCGAAAAATAGTTTCTATCTCTGTATAGGATGTGTGAATGCTCTCAGTTATAAAATATCTTTTAGAATAATTCAAAATGACAAGTGTCATTTATCTTTCAAGTAAATTGAACGACAAGAACTACGCTGATTGCGCTGTTCTATTACCACTTTCTCGAGTCCAATAATTAATGGCTTTAGGTGACGCTTCCACATGGCAGACCAACGTGACGTTAGTTCCGATCGGAGCTCCGACCAGCTGGTTCGGTACCTGGACCATCGGGTGAACTGTAAACCATAATAATTCGATCAGTCGCGATCAGACTAACGACAGCACAACAGCAGCGATACACTCGCGTGCGCGGTTTCCCGCGAATTAATTTGTCTAATTGAACGTCATCGTCCATAACACCACAAAGAATATTTTTCTGATTTGTTTCAAAACGAAGATCTCGGAATAGGGAAACAGCGGGTACTGTATTGTACCACTTGCACAATTCAATCGCCTTATTTCGCAGTTACATTGTGGTCCCTTTGTGCAAGTGCGTCATTAGCGAGCTACGTGAGCATCTCACGCTAATGAAACACGCTGACAGATTGTCATTTAGCGAGCGAGTAGAAAGGATGCATTTTCTATCTCCCTTTCATTACCTCTCCTCCCTTCCCCCCTTCCCCCCTCCTCTCTTTCTCTCTTTCTCTCTCTCTCTCTCTCTCTCTCTCTCTGCCTCATGGCAGCGTCGCTATGACTGCCTTTCATTTCGAGTATCGTAAGCAGCTTTCCATGAGCTGCTTACGTTTTAACAGGCGACCGCGCCGAGCACTTCTTCTTTCGGCCGAAGCTCGGCCAAACGTCGTGTCGTCACAAAGCGCTTACAGTGCGTTTTACAGCGGCTACTTAACCCCACCGACGTGAAATTCTGTCTTCAGGAAAACAAGCTACCCTATAGCTCATTGAATTCACTCACATCTTTTCTGACATACTTTAGCAAAAGCTCTGCATATCGTATTTACGGCATAATCTGAATCTATTAATGAAGTTAACGTAATTGCTGATTATATCACAACAAAACAAGATAAAAGAATATAATTTAGTAATAATGACGAATATGTCAGATGGAGTGTTATTTGCATGTTGAATTTAATAGCGAATTCAAGTTGCTGTAATAAATGTATGCAAAGAATTGACGAAATAATCTCTATATGTTTTATGTATTTAAGTATTAAAACATGTTGTTAAATTGTTGCTTTAATATCTTTATATAATGTTGCATAGAAATCCAGGTAGAATATACAAAAAATCATAAAATTAAGATAACATCAAGAAACTTTCAAGAAGAATCATGATGTCTGCATTTAGTACGTTTGATAATAATTTTGATATCATAATGATTTTTAAATAATTTTTTGTCTAAAAGATCACATAAAAATCATTGTTAAAAGTGTATCGAATGACATCAAGGTTTTACTTGATGTTGTTTTGATTTTATTACAATTTTGTGTTTTATTTGGATATATCATGTATTTTTAAATCGTTATGTATATACATATAGCCATTTAAGAATATTCATTTGCATACAAATACGGAATATGGATAGACTATCCATATTCATGAGATTTGCTATTACAATCTCTAACGATTCTGTATTGTCATCGTTAAAAGATAATACTTCCTAAGATAGTCCGTACCCCTAGTAATAAAGATTACGTCAGCGATATCGATGGGTTAGAATGTTGGGTGATGATATTATGTACGTTGTAACAGAAAATTAAGATGATGGCACGAGATAAACTGGCCGTTTCCTCGTTGGGTCTTTGGTCGACTCTTTATCTCGAGCGCCGCTTGGGAAATATATGTGCTCGCGCCGCGCTTGTGCACACCAAAGATCCCAGCAGCACCGAGACGACACTTTTATATGAGAAAGGGGAATACACAGAGTGTTTGGCGGTAGGATAACTGTAAGGTCTGTAAGTCAGACTTATCGACGTCCTGGAATAAAAATCAAATAATTTTGACATTGTAACCGAGGAAAAAATTTTATTTCGCGCATTTTCTGTAAGATGTTTCTTTTACAGTTGTCATTTTAAGCGTTTCTTTTTCAAAGTTCCTCAATGGTACTTGCGTCATTCTTAAAGTTCCTTAAGGTTTTTAAAGAGACTATAGTATCTTGTACAAGAATGGCACACTTCGAATTGTGTTGTTTTTGTAAATAAAAGGAGAACCTTCTTGTTTTATTTCGAAAATTCAATTATTTTCATTGATCAGGATATACACTATTCGATGATATTTTTAGTCGTGTTACTTTTAATGAATATTTCGAATCTGTTATATTTCTGTAGGATATTAAAATTGTCACAATTCCAAAAGGATGGTCTTTTTAAGGATTGTGAAACGAAAATGACAAAACTGACATTTAATCATGTTTCTAAGAGTATACTCTTTTATCGAAATTACTTGATTAGTCAGTAATTTTCTGTTAAATTGAAAAATAGTTTTTTTCCTTTTCTGAAAAAAAGAAGAATAAAGAACTTCATTTTTTGCATTGTGTGTCTTTTTTGAAATAAGGTAACGATTTTTTAGCATTTTCAAGTATTATACATATATATGAAACCAATTTGTAACGGATAGATAAGTCCTTCAAGGAATTAAACTTTGATATTTTAATTATTCATCAAATCCGTGCGAATTAATTGGAGAACGCTTTTGTCAAACGCAAATCCGGATACGATCGCGATAATAATAATAATTGCGCGATGATTACGAATAATTGGTAATTGTGACGCACATTATCGGTTATGCCGTAAAACGTGAACGAGCTAGAAAGTGCGGGACGAATTATCAAAACGAAACACACGATACAACGAGGCACTTCGGCGTGTGTTAATTCGAACGCGCGGACTTTCGGCAATTCCGGGCGAACAATTATGCGCCGAATTGAATCACGGTTTCTCCCCTAAGCATAACCGCGCGTTGTATCGCGAGAATTGATTTATGAATCCCTTCTGGCCGTAACAGAAGAGAGATATAGAGAAAGAGAGGGAGTTTTAATTGCTCCGATTTGCCAAGCGTGTCCCGCAAATCCGTTACATGATTTTCCGATGGATTTACGTGCAAACTTTCGATCCGCGTCCAAAAACTCACAGCACTGATTTCACGCGCGTACGGTATGATAGTGATGAATACTCGCTCTGGGAATTCTTCGTGTAACATTTAGCTCAGTACGTGACGATAGGTGACGCGTTTGCCCGGATAACAAACAGCGAGATTGCTTGACATTACTCTTAATTGTGAACGAGCCCGAATTCGGCGAAACGTAAATACGTTGCGACATTTTAACGTCGAACATTTCACCGCTAAGCCATTGCGTGGGATGCAAATCGTCGCCGAGTACTTTGCATATTGTTGTTTATTGATAAATTGGTCGTTTACCAGTAGCGATAAAATCGTATTAAATCGTTTATTGTACATAAACATGCATTGAAACAATTTTTTATGTTGTTTTTTTATTCAAATATTTCGAATAGTTATACTATTACCACAAATTTATTTACTGAGCTTTAATCAAATATTTCTTTAGCAAAATTTTAATAATCAAATTTTTTTAAATTTAGAACGTCAAATTAAATTGTTAAAAGAATTAATTTTTTATTGAACAAATCTCCTTTTTTTTTATCTATTTATGCTTTTAAAGATTTTTGTTGATATAATAAATTTGTGTCAACAGACTGCGGAGTATTTTTAGCGAAAAATATTTTCGAGAATATGGTGCATCTTATATCAAGTTTATGCAGTAACCACATAACTGGATGTTATGCGGTAACGTGTGCAAGTTCACGATGCGGTATGGCCGATAAATATAGCGACGCCAAAATAAGCTTGTCGAACATCAATCAAATAAGTTCGCGAATGCGATGCCTGCGCTGCAAAATGGACAGTCGATCGATCTGAACCGATGGACTGAAATAGGAAGCCGGTCATGAAGCACAATCGCAAGCTTGCAGATAAATAAGCGGCACAAGCTAATTTCTTTCGCCGCCTTCGTTAATTAAGCGCAGCGAGCGTGCCTCGAGGCGCTTAATGCGACCTGTGGCGCGAAATTGCATTCGTCGCGTTCATAGTCTAATCTAATGCAGTGTAACAACTTAATGCGGTGTAATAATTTAATGCAGCGCGCAATTCTCAATATCGCGTCAAATGCCCCCTAGATAAATTGCCGTATCGATTCCTGCGATAATTAAGTTGGACTTAAAAGCGATATTCATTGTAAAAAAAATTTTCTCTGCTCGCTTTTAAGTTTGTAAGATAAAATCTATTATATTTTTAAACAGAACTAAAGGAAACGTAAACGTTTAAGAACTGCGAAAGAGTTGGATTGTATAGTAATATTTTTTAAACATTTTTTTCACTTTTTTATCGCATTTTTCTTACAATCCAGTATTTTAACAAATTGTAAAAATTACTTAGAGGAGTTTACCTTCGGTACGCAAAGAGAAACCGACAGCAACTGACTTAAACGAACGATTAATTACAGTAAGCAGATGAGTAATTGCGGATAGTAAAGTAACAAAATCACCCAAGTTAAATCTTTCGCAATTTGAATGAACGCTGTCTTGTTGATTGTAACGCAGGTCGACAAGTTTAATTTTAAGATTGTAATCATGACGATATTAATTCTTTTTTCTTTTATTTATTATTTTTTACTTAAAAAGAGCCAATAGCGCACAATGTACTATATATAAAGTTAACTTACAAACGTGAGGGAGATTATTATTGTATTTCTTGGTTGAGTAGCGACTTAGCTGCGTAAATGGCTCTTTCTCTCCCTCTCTCTCTCTCTCTCTCACATCTCGTAGGTGGGAAACTTACGGTCCATAAAAGACAAGATTTCCTCTTGTCTGAGTGCGCAGAGAACTCAACGTTCGATAGTCCTGTGGTGATAAGATAACGCTCGATCCTTTTCTATCACGCTCGTACTACATATACTATTCCGACGTAATAGTTCTTTGTTAAGAAGCAGTGTTAAGACCGTGTCGAGACTCGACGATGTACTTGTCGCATTGCGATGCAGCTCGTCGCGTTGCTTTTCAAGTAGTCCCTCTTCTGTCCCTTCGTGTACAACCATATTTATCTAACGCGTAATTACGCGTCCGAGTTCCGTGGAAAAGTCGCAAACAGAGGAGGAAGGAAGTCGCGAGAGATGTAACGGAGAAGTTAAAACGTTGAGACTAAGTTAAAACCGGAGCGGACGGCGGGGTGTTTAAAGTTTCTGAGTAAAGTTCAGCTTGTCACATCTTGCGATGATTAGATCAGGGCTCGGTCTCTCTTTTCCGAGTCCTTAACTAAGAAGGAACTTTCATTCTGTCGTCGCGTGGATGCCGATGATGAGCGAACGTGAGTCGCGAGTACAATTTTATTTGGGAAGGTCTGGAAGTATTGTGCTAACTATTTACGATTACCAATGACTTTCCCGATGTTAAATGGTAGCTGCGACAATGAGATTTATAGACACATAAAGTTCAATATATCTCGTATAAATCATCGATTCTTTTAATATCGTTTCATAGCACAAAACTTTATCGAGAACTCTGAAAATATATAAAACTGTTCGAGACGATATGAGAAATGTCGTTTATTTGCTACAATAATCACACTACCCAGAAAATGAATTTAATTTGTTTTGAATGATTAAATTTTGGTATAATAATCTTAAAATGCAATTATGGTGTATTAATTAATTGTAGAGGAATCAAAATATATTTTTTTTTTTATCAATCTCCATCAATTTGCTGCTAGACTTGCTTATTCACACAAAGCAGAGACATATTTAATGCTGAAAAGGACACCGAATTGAGTACAATTTTACCTGTGGAAATGATCACCAGTCCATAGAATAAAGAATTCACGGTAAAAAAAATCATCTTTTTTACTTGCATACTATAGTATAATCAACGCTGCACTCTCATTTTTGCCTGGTTCAGTTATCTATTTGGTTTTAATCTGGAGAGTCTGTATCATTGTACCATGTTTTTTCTATATGTTTCCATTTTTTTCTATAATCAGTTAAAAGATTTTCGAGTTACATTATTGTTGCAACAACTCAGTGATATTGTTAGTATTATTATTATATAAGGTAATAGCAAGCACTATCCAGATTGATACAGCGAGCTTTACAATTAGCACGTATGTCGACGACAAAGTAGCAATCGCGTAATTGCACGCGAACGGCGTTTGCCAACAATTTCGAATGTTCTTCCGCGTTTTCAAAGGAAGTTCAGCACTTTGTATTCGCATCACGCGATCGTTTAAAGCAATCGGCCGTCTGCCACGAGCACAGTTCCGTATTTCCGAATCAACCCCGAGACTCCGCGCGCACTGCTATATCCACAATAATCCCACGTCGGTCGCGCGAATTTCGCGGCAATAGCTCGCGGACGGACGCGGGTTTTCGTCTATAGTCTACATATAGCGTATTTCAATGAAACTCGATTATTGTACGATCTTATCATGGTGCCCGAGGCCAGGTGCAAGATCGTGCACCGCAGTAAAGCGTAGCTCTACGTACATAGGTACGTCCAATTTCCGCCGAGGAATTACCGCTCCTCCACTGGGTTCCAAGACACGGTCGGGTCGGTCGTAACCGCGGCTTAACTTGCTATCGTCACACCACGCTTCTCCCACGATGAAACTACAACTTCCTCCTCTCATTTCTCTTTTACTATTACACTTTTTTAACGAGTGTACAATCTCTTGATGTATGGGAATTTTTCTTGCAATTATCGGATTTCTCGCGTAAAGTATCCTCATGTTATTTACCTGATTTTTATTGTCCTTTTTTTATTATCCTTAATGACCATTGCAGTTTGACTAAATTGCAACAAATGGTTGCGTCTTAGCTATATATATATATATATAAAAATAATTATAGATACTTTTTATTGTGTTGTACTATTGTTTTTATTATGATAAAGTGTCCTTTGGAACTTAAATGTTGTTTTGTTACAAGTTTCATGAGATACATACTTATTTCATTTTATCTCACTGTTATAGCTGATTGCTTCGATTCATCGAAGAAAACTGTCTTTATCCTTTACGTTACGGGAGGTGTGGATAATCAATTTAATTTCATAATGAAATCTATATTGAATTTACGACATTTCTTCGACATAACACGCTTCTCTGCGCGTCTTCATCCACCCTCGTTTTCGCGCAATTTGAACGGAACCTTATTGCGCACACCGTCTTCTCGCTAAACCTTCTAAAGGGGTGACGGGGGAGGGTATGAACGTGGGTGTGTTGTACCGTCGTCCCGAGTGTAATTTTATTATCTCGCGCCCCTTTCCGACACCCCATCTCACCCTGTGAAATCTCTCCTTCACCCTCGTCGCTAGGCGCATTACGCGCCTGTTATTTAAGCAGTATTTTACCTTCGGTCTTTTTCCCCCTTTCCTCTCTCATTCCTAGCCGCGGTCTTCGTCATTCTCCGTCTCCAGCTTTTACGGAGAAGAGGTCTCTACTCGGTCTCCCTCCCGTCTTTACTACGGTAAAATTATGCAAGGGAAGGCGACGATGGCTATCTCGTCGTACAAGCGACGCTTTTCTTCGTCGTTGCTGCGGCGTCTTGTATTCCCTCCGAGACGCCTCTCTCGTTTTACAACGAGAAGTGTGTCTCGCGTGGATAAGGCTACTACCGGTAGTTCGCGGACTTTACACCTTCTGGACGATTGCTCAAGGAAACGCCTTGGTGCACAGGAAACCGTGAAGCTATACGAGTAGTAAAAAAAAGACGAATCTTGTCGCGTTCCCTCGCGAACACGCTTGTCCCACTTTATTTTTGTGAGTGTGTGACGATTAAAGTGCAATTAGCTTTAGTATCGACAAATCATGAATCAAATTTCAGAATTTTAATTATTAGCTTGATTTAACCAAAATTTCTTGACTTAAATTAAATTTCGTCTTTTAACACAATTTAAATATAATTTATTTTATACTTAATTTATTTTATAATTATATTAATTTGGAATATTACGTAGAGTTATTTTATTATACTAGTGTTTAATTATACAAATATATTAATGTAGAAACTGAATTTCGGATAGAAATGAAAATGAAGTTAAAATATTCTGTAAAAATGTCATAAGAAACAACTTTCTTTTAAATGTTCAACATCATTTTAAATTCATGTACGTTCACCTATAGGTATATATTTGATCGTTTTAATAAATAGAATATTCTGTAAGATAATGCCAGCCATTTATTTAAATTATGATTATTAATTGAAGATTAATGGAAAGCTGATATTCCATGAAATGTCAGAAATATACATGTGACTTGTTGGACAAAGAAGCAGATTTGTAAATTTTAATCCGTACGGATCACGCGAAAGATTTTTATCCAGCTTATTCTACAGTTCGTAACGAAGCGTCCGCAATATTTACTTTATAAATTTTGTTGTATTCTTTGTGTTGGATTACGCAGAGAAATTATGCAGTCACTATTCTGTTATTTCTCACTTAACTGCATCATAAATTGAAAATTTTAGCAAGTTTTTTACTCACAATGAGAAAATTACATATATGACATTTTATGTAAACATTTCTGCTGCATATTGACTTCATATTGACTTCAAATTGATCAAGAGATTTACTTAATGGAGATAGAAATACAATATTCTGTATAAAAATTACTTTATAATAAATATAATAATATAAATTAATAAAATAAAATATATTATATCATTAATTAAATAATATATTTTAAAATACACACATATACCGCAAAAATATTGATAAAACGAGACATGTATTCCTAATTACGAAAAATGTCCTTTGCGCGAAATGAACGGTGGAGATATATAACAAGCTGTAAGTAGAATAGTAGATATGTACTTACAATGCACGTGCAGCATCATTCGTTTGCTGACTGACGGAGGCACTCCATTGCTAGCGATGCACAGGTAGGCGCCCATCTCACCCCTCGTTACTTTCGACAAAGTCAGCACTTCGCCCTCTGCACTGGGTACTGCAATATGCAAACATGAGGGGCGGTCTCAGAAGTTAGCTCGTTACACGTAATCAAAGTGTGCAACATTAATACCCGATCGACTTAACAGATTAAAGTGGTACAGACGCGTAAACGTCCACGTGGAAATTTGCCGTTACGGCACATTAAATCTATATCTGATACGATCTATTATAAATGTAACAGTTACTATTTAACCTTTTGGAAGCAGAAGTTCTTTAACAAAGTAACTTATAGAAGATCTTTTCGGGTCATTGAATTCGACTCTGACCTCAAAATTCTAAAATTACATGAGATTGCAAAGAAACAATCTGGTTATTGCGAAACTCGGTTTTAGGAGATGTCTCCGAGTTTGAATATAGCCTAAAAACATCGAATTTCGGAAGGATCGTAACTTTAATGAAGAAAGATCTAGGGTCACAGTGCTCAAAATCAGAGTTTGAAATCAATACTGTTTACGTGTGTAACACTGATGAGTTCTAAACAAAGCAAAACTTGGTATCACTTCGTAATTTCCTGAAACTGATCAGGAATTTTTTACAATGATCAAATTACTTTTTAAAATTTACCATATTTAGAATCTATTTTACTATGAATTTTTTACTTTTTTTTTTACCTCAGATTGGAAAAAAGCATTATCAAATTACTCCAAAGACCAAGTTTTATACAAATCAAGCGAGCAATTTATAAAACAAAAGGATGAGATCCTAAATAGGACCGTTCATATAAAGAATTAGCATTGAATACAAATTCATTTTGTAAATAGAGATGTATTAGTCAGCTAATAATACGTATTTCAACTTTTCTTTGAATTATTGATTAGAATTTTGAAATTGAAAATAACTTATCTCAGAAACAAAACATAGTTCTCCAGATTAATTAATTATTGTACATTTATCGGATATGCGAGCGGAAGTTGCCGATTAAATTCTGGTCTTCGTTGTTTGTGATCTATTCTAGTGGGAATACTTTTAAATGCGCCGACAAATTCGCATCCGAAGAAAGCTTTTGGTGTCGCAGTACGTCACCTTATCGCTCCCAAAGGAAAAGTAAGCGATTGATTGGCGCGAAATAAAACTTGGAACTCTTACTTTTTGTCTTGCCAGGACCGGCACGTGAAATGATTTCGGTGCCGTCTTCTCGCTTCCACACGATGTCAGGTTTGGGATAACCGCGCGCTTTGCACACCAGCTTCGCGGCACCTCCCTCGGGAACCATCATGTCGTTCGAGGTTTCCTCTGAGATGATGTCTGGCGGTATTACCACCTCCAAAAACGCGCTCTGTGAATGCGGAGGAGATAAATTATAGCGTGTACAGCGAAGAGAGAATATGGAGTGTTACGAAATATACATAACGAAACCACCAATCGGATTAAAGCGTAGAACTCGGAGTCTGAAGTCGCAATTATAAATCAGTAAACTTGAAGTAATTTTCCCATTACAAAAATATTCCATTTTGCTCGATAATTTCGTGACAATCATTAATTATTATATATTTTTGTGCACTCTTCTATTATAATTAAAAAAAAAATTACGTGTGGAATTATTCTTGACAAGAAATAAGTTATTTTTGTAAAAATCGCATTCTACATATGTGAGGAAATACCTGGCTCTTCATGGGATCCGTGTTGACCTGGCACATATAAATCCCGCGATCTTCCCGGCGTGCACTGCGAATATTCAACGTCCACGTGTTGTAGTCGCTGTGGGTCACCGACAGACGGGCGTTGTTCGTGATCACGTGCTCATGAATCGCTAGGATCGCCTTGGTGTCTGCTTTAATCCACGCCACCTGACCTCACAAACCCATTTCTTAGAAACCGATTCAGTACCGTTTCCCCGCCTTCCCAAAGCCTACCTAATCTTATAGCCGTGCGTAACTCGTCAATTAACTATTTCTTTTTGATCGCGGATCTAACCGGTATTCTATCTCGAGAGATATTTCGTGAAAGTGCTGTTAAAAGCTCAACATTTTTGTATCTTCTCCACAACCTATACTTTAATCAATCCTTTCGGTATCTATCAGATTTGGAATGAAAAGTATATTATTTTTATTTTCATGAAATTAAAATAAATGCTTTTAATCTTTTTTATAGACGGCATTGGCTTGTCATTAAAAACAATTTTTATTGATTTTGCTAAAAATGACTTCTAACTTTTGTAAGTGAAGAATCTTACGTACAGCGAAGAGAGAATATGGAATATTACGAAATATACAAAGAAGCCATAAACCAGATTAGAACTCCGAGTCTAAAATCGCATTATAAATCAGTGAACATGAAGTAATTTTTGCATTACAAAAATACTCTATTCGCTCAAGTTCAATATCGATGTATAACCTTTTTAGATAAGTAAAAATACTATATTTTAATACTTTGTAATACATAAAAGCATGTGCTTTTCCAACTTCAATTCTTGAATATAACATAACCTATTCGCACAGATCTCGAATTTACCCCGAATTTATCATAAATTTAATTTCAAAATGAACGTTGCAAATTTGCAGCACTCAGTTGCCCCTAAAAGGTTAATGTAAAAATGAACACAAGGAACGTTTAATGTGCCTTAATATGCCGAACATAAATACCGAAAGAGTTAATTACTAAGTAAAGTTCCAGAGTTACTCCGTCCACCGATGTTGAAGAAGAATCCAACTTCCTACTAACCTAAAGCACTTTCCTATCGCTTTTGCCGGTTTTCCCTCTATACGTCAGTTACTCTTGAAATATTCGGAAGTACAATCATAAGCTTTCTGTCGCGATTCAAATATGAACTCGATTACGATAACGTCTGCGAGACTTTGTGCAGAAAGAGAGATATAAACACGGGACGCTTTCTATTCGCGAATGAATGAAATATTCGTATACATCGCCTCGAAGGCAGGCATCAAAAGCCGGTATATTCTACGAAAGAATCTCCTCTTTATGGCGAAGTCTGCGCTACTCCACCGCATCCCACGACTGGAAAACTGTACCGTTGCGCGCCGCGACGGTCTGCCACTGTGTAAATATGAAGAATTCCGCGAGCAAGAACACGATAACCCATAGAACGTAACTTTTCAGAAAAATAAAGAAAGGTAGCCACGAGAGATAACGGTTTAGTAGCAAAGTTCAGGTGTTTTACTCTCATAGGATGTAACATTATGTTTACATCAAAAACTCGAGCGAGCTTCATATTGGATATAAAAATAGTAAATAGGATAGAAATAAATGTCGACCAAACACACACATATTTCGCCTGTGTGATCTTGCCATATTGGTATAATTTATTACAAGTTCTTCACGCTCTCGTGAATGTTCCGCAAGTTATATTACTTCTGAAGTAACTATCGTGACTGTTCCGAATGTGGGTTACCGCGCTTTCGCTCGCGATCCTTCGTATCATCAACGCTAAATTGAACTCTCACCGGTTATTGCAGTTCGTTCCAAGCCGCTGATATACGCCATTAATTAAACCCATTTTTTTACGGATTAAAATCAATGAAAAAAAGGGGGGGAAGAGGAGAGAGTTGGGCGGAGAAAGGGGCGTGAAAATGCAATCATGACTGGTTAACACATATTAATCGTCATTCTGCTCCACATTCTGGCTGAAGCTATCCTGAAAGAGGAAACTGCAGTGTGGCGCATCACGAATATTCATCCTCCTCCCGTCTTCTGCTCTCTGCCTTATTCGCCTCCCTCTGCACAGATATTATTGGCATGAAATTGAACCTGTACCATGTCGAATATCTGACCTCGCATCGCTTTGAAAGGCTATCTATCAACCGACAAAGGAGTTCCGCGGTTCTTATCGATAACCCGCGAACGGAGTGTATAGAGAGCGGACGCGGAGGATGAAGGGAGGACGACTGAAGGGGGCGGTTGGGATGCGAGAGGGTGCGAGTGTTTGGTAGTGACGGCCTTGTGAGTGCCTCCACTTATAATATATTATGCCGGAGTATAAGCGCGACCCCATTCTCCTTTCGGCGCGCCTTGCGATGTTCCGAGGGGAAGAGGGGCGGTAAAACACCCTCTCGGAAAGGGGGGGGGGGACGAAAAAGTCGCCGCGACCGACAGATGCTTGTGACTCTCAAACATTTATGTCATATTGCCGTCAATTCATTCGCTGATGATTAATTTGTTGTGGACTGAAATGGAAGAAGGAAGGAAAAAAAGAGAAAAAGCTGAAAACATTTCTATGTGCGAACAATGAACGTGTGTTTCAAGCTTCTCGAAATTAAAATGTCAAAAATATGCTTTAAAAATAAATAAAACATACGGAATGAAAAATGAAAATGAAACTTATAAAATTTATAAAGTGGGGGGGGGGATTATATCTAGAAATATCAGTATAACGCAACACAAATGTGGAACGAAATTATCTTTCAGTTATTATCAAATAAAAATGATCAGCAAACAATTTCTTCGTGGAGCTCTTCGGAAAACTCTGTAACAAATTTTTCATGAATATGCGATATAAAAATCGCTCTCAGAAGTGAAAGAACGTATCCATAGCAACGCGAGTCGGATAGTATCGTGCGAGCAACTACGACGGCAATTCGAAGGCATGCACAATACGTTGCTCCGTATCCGAAAGTTGAAACTCGAAAACCGAGCGCGATCTCGTGATCCTGCTGCGCCCACAGAAAGGAAAATCCTGTACACCAAAAACGTCATTTTTCTCTTTTCCTCTTTAGAGGACACGCAGCATCGCGCACATGTCTTTTTGAGCAAGAGCGGGTCACGAATGGGGGGGGGCGACCGAGATCTTAAAGGGCACGCCGTGCCTTGTATGGAAACGAGCCTCTATCTCAATGCAAAAACGTCCTCTCTATCTAATGCAGTTTCCTCCCAGAGTAGATACTGTTGGCTTACGATTTTCCTCTCCCTCTTCCTCCACCAGTCTTCCAATCTTCGTGGATCTTTAAGGAGGAGAAACCGCGAAGGTACCCCCACGGTGGTAACGGAACAGACGGATAGATAGACGCAAAGAGATTCGGGGGATGAGAGAGCGACGGCGAGGGGGTGAGTTAACCTTCCTAGTCCGATATAATATCGCGTTACGTACACCTACTACCCCTTCCCCCCCGGCCTTTGGCTTCACGTTCCCTCCATTCTCGGTCCTCTTTCATATGCAAAACCATCGTCGGCGCTCCATTGTGGCGCATTGTGGGATCGGGAGCCTCGGTCCAGTCTACCACACCTCGTTTATTTCCCGCCATCTCCTCCGCGCCTCTTCAGAACCCCTCACCGCGGCTCACCTAACTCTTCATCCTTTCTCATCTTTCGCGTTTTATTCGTAGCTTTCCGACGCCGTCACCCACTTATATAGCGCGACTCGTTCTTGAGTTCTTATTTTCTCGACTGCCGACTGACAAAGTACGGTTGTTCCCTTTTTGAGCGGCGTATAGTACATAAATGGATAAATTTGCTAATTAAAAGTTTCGCGGCTCCCCTCCTTCTTGCCTTCCATCATGATGCTCACTGTTGGACAACTCAGTTGGAGTTAGGTATCTCTCTCTCTCTCCTTGCTTTCTACAGCTTCTTCAATATCATGACTTTGCCGGCGGAGATCGAAATACTAGAATATTATTTTGTAATTAATTATCTTTGTATGTGTGGATTATTTTTTTTTCTTTTCGCACTCTTTTCTTGCCCGTTCTCGTCCTTCTCGATGACTTTAACTTTTTCGAGACGTTTTTCTCTATCATTACATTTATTGAGATTTGCATCTTCAGCCAGTGAAAAGGAAAATTTCTCTGAGGTAATTTAACAATAAAGAACTTCTTCTTTGTACTTGGGACTTAAAAAAATATGTATCTCTAGAAAAATATATGAAAAGTAATATATATTATATTATGTAATACTAAATCAAATTCAACGTTAAATTTTTTTAATAAATAATTTGTAACGATTTGAAAGTATTGATTCGAGAATATCAACCTTATACGAACGATGCAATCCAAGATTTACTTTTACAATTTATTTTATTCCTACACAGTATTTAACGATTAAAGTAAAAAAGAAAATAAATAGAAAAGAACAAAATTTTTCTAAATTAAATTACTCTAAAACTGATGGTATTATATCATGGCGGTCATGATTTTAGAGCGTCTTTTGTATATTTATAAATGTAATTGTTTATTGTATGTACATTGCTTGCTTCATGGCGGATGTGCGCGAAATTTGAGCGCAGTGTCCAAGAACATAATAATGGCGGGTTAAACGTTAGATTTTATGGCAGAGCGCAACGCCGAGCGTCGCGGCGCGGCACGGTACGGCACGGCACGGCATGACACGGTACGGCACGCTCGACGGTACAACGAAACGCACTCATCCGCATAGCCGCGTGCGCGGAATTCGAACGATTAACCGATCCACGTGACACGCACGTTTCGGACGAGATTACTCGTTCTAGCGTACGCTCTATATGAACGTACCGGGTGATCCGAATAAAAGCGTCGGTCTTATTCGCACTTTGTGTAAGATCGAATAAGCTATAAGCTGGACCCAGATGAAGCAAACAAGCGCGAACGAGCACGAACGGACCACTTGCTTCGATAAGCACTGGCGATGCTGCTCTCGCTAAAGTGAGAACACTGTTCATTGGCGTTTGTTTGCACCTCGTCTACTTGATCTGGATCCGGCTTGAGATTACTCGCCTCGGGAGTTACGCAATCGATGTAAATGAGGGAAGAAAATCGCACGTTTAACATTAAATATCCGACGAGAACGTTTGCAAAATTTATCCGTTTAAACATAATTTCACGATCTTTGGTTACGCTTGTTACTTTTCCTATTCTTGACTTTACTAATTTGATAATACGTCCTATATAGATATAGAAGACATTTATGCATAACTTAGACACAATCGAAACTCATACGAAAAGAGGAAGATATCACATTATAGTCTCTAATTGAAACGCTAAAATCGATTGCTGCTGCTAAAACCCGACCTATCTCATCTCCGATCTAAACTCTAATATTAAGTTACATATTTCGTTTATCTCTCTAGATTACTGTTAAAAACATGCTCATGCAACCTCGTATACTCTCCGTTATCATATATTCATGCATCATTGGCATGCCTCTCGCATATAGACAGGAATTCAGTGACACGCTAAGAACAATACGTATCCAGCACGTCTCGCTTCTCGGATTCGGCAATTACTCAGGGCGCATAACACGTCCGAACAATGTGCATCTCAATCCTTCTCCAATGCAGCTTGCACCATATTTCATTTCGCACGAACATTCAAATCTCAAGTGCGTTTTTATGCATTGTAAACAGACACATGTGCAAATAGAAATTGTGCATTCGTGGACAAGCCAATGTGGACCTGAATGTTTTCGTATCGGAGGGGGCCAGGACACGGAACGTATATCGTGATATTCGATTTTAGGAAATTAGTGCAATGACGAATAATTATAATTCGCTCTAATGAGAAAGAGTCGTTACGTCGGATAAAGAATCGAGATATATCTTGAAATGGCAAGATGTCTGAATGGAAAATATATTGTGTTTGTTTGAGGCACGAATGTGCTCGAAGCTCATGGAAAAATGATTATGCCTAACGCTTACAATTATTGAAATTTTATCTGTCATTGTTTCATGCCCATCATTCCTGTTTTGAAATATCCTTTGAAACGTCTCGTCTCCAAATTTCCAAATATGCTATTATCCAATGAGGCAACAGAATCTACTCTTTTTTTAATATTAAGAATATTGCGTATTAAAATATGTAAGCTAAGATTATCATAAAATTGTATATTTAAAAACGCTATTAAACAAAATCACTGTTAAAGACAAGATCACAATTAATATATATAAGAAAATCTGAGTTTGCAAGTTATACAAGATTGTTGTGTATAAATATATTAGCTATTTTGCGATATATGATGCACTCTTGCGTTCATTAATTGTCGTTTGAAGCAAAGGCAGATGCTGTTGCCTAGGGCCAATCGCCCAACTACCTCGGTTTCCCAGCGGGTGCGATTAAGCATCGAAGCTTAAATCTAACAAGCGGAAAAGCCGGATACTAGGCCTCGACATCTTCGCTGTAGGCTCGCACTGGTCGATCCGCAAGACTCGCTTAGAGCATAGGGCATACAAGTTGTAAGCAGTGTACTCGTTGCAATGATAAATTTGAACGATATCGTTCTGTCAGTTTCTATTCAACGAGGAGAGAAACTCAGTTTCAGACAGAGAACCCCGCTGATCGTCTTCAAGAGCTCTTTTGCAAGAAAAGTGTGGGAAGAAACGAAACTTCTTTTTTATCAATACACACGTTATTTTCAAATCCAAATAAAGATCAGTCTGACGGCGAAAACATAATATTCGAAGTATACATATTTATTTATCAAATGCTTTACGTGGCTGATAAAATTGTATGGATACGGAGCGATTCTGTTAATGATCAAAATCAAGAGCTGCGAATTAATCAATTGAATTAACGGCACATGAGTGGTTGCTGATCGATCGCGATGATAAATTATGCATGAATGTATCTCCCAGATTTTACCATTACGCACGATGCACTATATTACAGGCGAAATGTTTCTTTTACGATAATTACACGATTACCGTATTTTCTGATGTTTTTTTAGTTTGCGAACAAAAGTGGTAGATACATCGATGCGTTAAAATCACGATAACGAAATTGTGCATATTTTCAGAGATAGAAAGCGGGATGATATTTAATATTAATATCAACGAAATGTGCACTCTGTGCTGTAATAAGAAAATTTTATCGGTTAGAATTCTTTTTTTTTTTTTAGACAATAGATGTTATTTCAATTTAAAAAAATATTTCACATGTCGTTGTATGACAGAACAACGATTTTTCATTTTTATATAAAAATAAAATTGAAATATACAAACATAACAACATTTTCTACTGCAAATAATTCCCAAAAAATTTTGAATTATTTATACAACTAATAATGTAAGAATATAAAAAAGAAGCTTTACCTATTTTATAAAATGTACAATCAGGGTATTACTAATTTCAATCTGAAATATTCTCTAACATATTTTTAGTTGTAAGATTTATGAAAGGTTTGCGAAAGATTGACGAAAGTAATCGCGCAGTAATCTCTACGAAGCAAAATTACCTTCTCCCTCATAGATTTCTATACGTTTAATAATGTAGAAGAGCAAAGAAAAGAAATAATGAAACCGTCGCGATGATCCTTATTAGAAAGGAACGTAAACTCCCGCGTGGAGGATTGTCCGACCGTGTTAAGAGAAAGAAGTTGAAACGCGGGCGAGCGCATTGCCGGAAGTAATCGCATTTTCCAACAAGTTATAAACTCTGACAGTGCCAAGTTTAATTAAAACCTACGACGGTCGCGCGCACAGCGCCGAAATTTCTTTCCCTGGCGAAAGGTCTCCGTGGCATGAGAGGAAGGGGTGCTCTCGGCGCTATCGAGAAGTTATCGGTTCAACAAGTGGAGCCGTAAAGCGCTTAATACGCCACATCGGCGATATGTTCTCGCGTGAAATCAATTTCGCTACATATAGCGGCACTGTGTGCCGGTCTTGATCAATCTTCCTTCCATTGCTGGGATCGCGCTATTACCGGCAAGTGTAAAGCGAAACTTACGCAATTACACGCGGCTCTAAACTCTCTACAGGGTGTTCCGAAAAGAAAAAATACAAATAACATCTTTCGAGCAATCAGTTTAAAAATTGCGAGCTAGAAAGTTACTAGAAATCATTAAAATTTATATATAAAATTGAATTGAAATTAAAACACTTGTATATCACAAAATTTGTTTATTTATAAAATATAATTGTTATTTAATATAACATTTCGTTATCTCCGATTAAAAAATTTTTGCAGTTTATCGATATACTTGATAAAATTTACAATTATATTAATCAATGCACGATGCTTGTGATCTTATCCCGGACATCCACTGAGAGAAACCGAAGAAATTTTTGCGCCAGTGATATTGGACATGGTCTTTTGGAAAGCATGATTCCATGGAAATAGGAGTGGGCAATGTGCCCGAAAGCCATTGTAAAAAAAAAAAAAAAAAGACAATAGCTGCAACGATAGATCGGCTTTTTTGTATCCATTCATCCTCTCGCGATTCGAATTCTTTTCAGAGAAAGGACAAAGGTGGAGATCGATAGATCGATCCGAATAAATTTCATCTTGGCTACGTGACGCGTTAATATTGATAACATCGATCTCAATAAACGTTTAATCTACTTTGCGTTTCAAATTGCTCTAGAACATTAGGGGGAAGATGCCATCTTAAAACATGAACCGCGAGCGTACATATTGTAGTAACTACAGTTTCAGCACCTTAGTTGCGGCAACTCGCGATGCATAACCCAACGACGCGAACAAAACGGGGAAAGCCGTTGTACGGCGCATCTTGTTTAATAATAACTAAACGCATATATAGTTATTAGCTATAATAACGGATAACGATACGGTTTCTTTCGACGCGCGAAGGCATCATTAACCATTTAGTGAATAATTTCCCATGGAAGAATCCTCTTTCTCTCACTCTCTCTCTTTTTCTCTCTTCGGTGTGAATCGTCGGTATTTCTCAGACGAAGTGAACGAAGAGAATGAGACAGGAGGAACGTGAAGAGACTATGAAACTTCGGTTGCTGCGTCGTAGTCGAGCAGTACCTGTATACGGACTGATAGATGAAAATGGATGTCGTACAGAGAGATGGTTGGTGATGGTGACTGCTCTGGCGACTGTGGTAGTATATATACTTTATATATATATATATATATTTCTCATTTTTCATAGCTGGCGGTAGTGCAGTTAAATGCAGTGCTGTGAAGTGCAGGCACGCGCGCATATAGGTGGTGCAGTAGTAGTAGTGACAGTAGTAGAGTTAGTAGTAGTAGGTAGTAGTAGATAAGGTAGTAGTCCATTACAGGCGGACACAGGTTAATGGTAAAATAGTTACCCGGGCGTTACCCTTGACGCTGCCAGAGTGATCTCCGCTCGCGGAGGAGGAAGGACTCACCCGGTATCCACCGAGGTTGTTCACCACGCAGGTGAAGGTAGCGTCTCGACCTTGCGGGATCGTTACGTTCTCCAGCGGGTAAGCGAAGTCTGGCTCTAGCCCCGTCACTGAAACAAACGACAATGATCGCGCGTTAATTCAATACAATTCTCATTTTCCACTTCACTCCATCGTCGAAAGTTCCGCTGCGCTGGAGCAAATAATTCTTTAAAGGGAAAGTAGGATTGATTCTAAGGTTTAGGGATGTGACAAGTCGGAAAATATAGTTGTCTTTAGCGTTTGCAATTGTGCTGTTAATCGAGAAATCATGTTAACCGTAAAATTAAACGAGACGTTTTTATTATATTTTACCAAAAATTAATACTTATTTAGCTATTTTTTTTTCTTTAAATATATTGTTAATCTAAATTTTTAGTATTGAATTAAATTTATCAAAATACATTAATTTTCGATACAGCACAGTGACGTCTCCTGTCCCTTAAGATTTAAGTGTTTATTAGATGGATTAGGGATGTAATCGCAGGAGAAAAGGCGTTTAATATAATTATATTTAAAAAAGAGTTTTGTGAGTTTCACGTTTTAAGTATCATGTAAACATATTGTATATTAAGATCGGTTAGTCAATTCTCGTCAGAGTAAATTGGAAAGTCGCAGTAGTTTCGTGAAAATATCCCGAGGCTTTTACCACGATACGCACCGGATATGCGGGATATTTTATGTCGTGTTATATATTCATGGAAAAAAACGGGCCTTTGTAGAAAGTTTGGCGTTATGGGCATCCAGCTATCTCATAACAGAAACTATCGTACACTATGCGCGAATGCCTAAGTACCGGTGGATTTTTTTTTTTTTTTTGCGGAACGCTCAAAAATGATAAACGGGTTAGCGACGGAACATTCCAAGCAATTTTCTCACATTTCCGAGCTGTCTATAAATTCTAAAAATAGATTTGTCCGAGTATCGTTTTTAACTGCATTACTTTTTACTAACATATAACAGTGCGATATTTGCGCACAATGTAGTGATAATGAAAAGATAAAAGATACGGTACTATATAGCAGTAATAAAATGACTCGTTTGAGAGAAATTTAAGAGATCAAGTGTTTTCTCCATATTTATACTCCACATATATAGAAATCACTGTTAACATATTCAGCGGCGGGACTAAATTAATTTGTGGAATTTAAATAGTTTGTTAATGGGATCCCATTGCGGTGCATGTATTTCGCAGGCTGTAACAATCCGAATCGACAACATTTAGCCGGTTTACGATGTAAAAGTAATCAACGCGGAATTAACACCTGTCGCTCGTGAAATAGTTTCCCGGCGAACTTTATCTCGGAACCTATATTTTGCGAATAAAACGATACAGTGAAATTGCCGGAAATGTCGCTTGTTTTGTGTGAAATAGTACGTCATTCTTTTTTTTTTAATATTTTCTGCCTACAAGATCTATATTTTTACTTCAGTATGTAGCGTAAAGATACGCTTTTCTCCGATTCGTAGCTATATGTTTTATCATTTGTTACCATTATTTAGGATTAAATATCAATAACGTCCTGTTGTAAACAGATAATATCAGTAAATATATACGTATCAATTATGTAAATATTTATTTTGATAATTTATAATGTTCTGTTGCACACTAGTACATTATTAACTATCAAATAAATGATATAAACACGTATTTAGTCGTATATACGATCGTGATTTATTCATTTAAAAAGAAGAAAGAATAGAACATTTCATGCAGTAAGATTCGAGAATTTCCAAATCGCGACAGTAGTGAAGGCAATACAGGAAATTGCTAAGCTATGTGATGGAAATTCTGTCGGCTATATTTTTTCTCGCCGTGGTCGAACAATGACTGCTGTAGCAGGATTTAATATTGGAGACTTGAATTCCTGTTACTTTTAACACTTACCTTTGTGAACGAATTTGCACATTTTTACCGTAGCATTCCACGTACGATTTAATAACTATAGTTTCGATCTATGGAATCTTTCTTGTGAACCGGTATTTCAATCAATATAGAAAAGTACTCTGTATAATTTTATTTGTTGAAAAGTGAAGCTTTATGAGCAACAAATGTAATCGTGGTATCTCATTTCATTATTGTAATGTTTATCAAGAAGAGGTGCATGGAAAGAACAATTTTGCTAAAATATTTAAAAATTTAGCAGATTTGAAGATAATTTTATTACGTTATCAAAATAACTATGTATGTAATAAAATGCTCAAACTGGTTACTAGAATGTCAAAACATTTTGCGTTACTCATTGTACTTGAAATTTGTACATAATTATTTTGATAATCCAATAAAATTATTTTCAAATATATCTACATCTCCAGTTATAAAATTTGTATACCTATAGAGATCAACGAAACCGCGATCTCTCTGTATACATATAAAGATATTTTGATAAAGAAAAAAATATTTGTCGACATAATCATAAAATTCACTTTCTCGTGGTTGGTATTACATTTTTTTACATATTATTATCTTGAACATATTTTAGCGTTGTTTATGTAGAGCGCCTCCAGCTTTTGGTTTTTAAAAGAAAATATTACACGTTGTAATGTATCGTATGGCCATTATGTAATTGCAATTGCGATGCGGAAGAGGCACTGCGAGACAAAGAGAGATTCAATATGATGCTCGTGTCTGGTGAACGATACAAAGAAACTGACTTACGAGAAAAGTTCACCCGCCTCTAGCGCGAGAAGAACCTCCGCGTATTGAATTTAAATTCGCGGCTGGCAGCAGCAGCAGCAGCAGTAGTAGCTAGTATCATCTAATGTAACTCGGTTATGTGAATTTTATGAGGCCAAATGGAAGGTGGGAAAAACGCGTCTTATGAAAGCCGCTGATCGATTTATCTGACGTTCCCGCGGTGACAGACGCGACTAAAAATGGTTCCGCGATCTTCGCGCTGCGGAAATGCTTCGACATCTTTACAATGCGCAATGCTGCAGTATCCTATAGAAAAATTATCTTTCCTTCGTGACGTAAGATATTATATCAATTTTTATATGCGTGACAGTCACAAAGCTGTAATGCGGACAGTTATCATCAATAAATATATTGCCTTTTATTTTAGTCAATATATCATTTTAAAAGGCCAGTCGATTAAAAATGTTACTTTTCGATATTATTGCTAATCGCTTATAAATCATAAATTAACATACAGTTTGTAGAAAAATTAGAAAACATAATATTTTGTGTTTAAAAAACGATGGCTCAAAACGATATTTGTTTCCGTGGGTGTTAAAAACCGGCCAAAGTTGTATGAATAAAATGCTCCTCGTACTGCTTTGCGAGCGATATTTACATTGCCACTTTGTTGTGACGCTAATATAATTGGTTACGCGGATATGTGCGCTATAATTTATTGCAATTGCGACAACGTGAGATGCTTCAAGGAAAATAGCTTTTCCTTCATAGAGTAGAAGGGAGTTGAGTTTTACAGTCGCGATGTGTGACGAAGATGTAGGACGTATCGCGGCATGCCGCGAGAAGTCGGCAATTTTGTTCGTTGAATTTTACGAGTTATTTGAAGAGTGACGTACATACATAAACACTAAGTAAGCCGTTGGTAAAATATATCGTGAAATTTCTGTTCGCTAGAGACCGTCAATGACCGAATAAATCGAAACAAACAGAATTTACTGACATGTCATTACCAATAAATATTATGACGCTATTTCTCAATTTAATGAAAAATTTTCTCTCCATCTTTCTTTCTCTTTCGTTTATTTATATAAATTAAAATACTCAATTTTTATTTATTATAGTACTGTCCAATGTCAATTTGTGCAAGAAATGTTTCTTTTTCTACTTTATAAATTGTATTATTAATTTTTTGTATTTTACATTTTAACACAGGTGTAAAATATAAATCATGTTAAAACGTTAATATAATATAAGAAAGTCATTATACGGAGTTTCAGCGATTTTGATACTCTGGATATTTGTTGGAGTTTAAAATTTTGATAATAAAAATATATATTGAGGAGTCACAATATATAATTTCTGAATATGCGTGATAAATATTTTGATATACAATAATATAATTTGTTATGTATAAATAATGACATTAATTTCTGGAACATTGCAATTATTATAATTTTTTTATCTTTATTTTGATATAAAAATGTGTGCAATCGCGATTAATAACACTAATAACACCTGAAGCGATTTATTAAATGTAATTTTAAATTTACATAATAATGTTCATGACGTCAACTTTGCTTTGATTAAAAAATGAAAATTAATTTATTATTTTACATTATTTTTAATGATAATTTAATTCGTTATCCTAATTTATTAAAGTCGCTGTACATTTTACTTTATCCGTTTAAAAATGGACGAATTTAAAAAAAGATTAATTTAAAAAAACGCTAATATATTATTTTACGCAAACATTTCTTTTTTTTTATAAGAGAAGATACTTTAATCTTGTTATTTTAATATATGTATGTATACCGTATAATATGGTAATAGTTTTGTTGGTCAAAACTAGTTTACATTACAAGAACTGAAGTGTACGAAACTTTTTTTCTACATTAAACTTCGGTGGAAATCTTGCGATGTGTTTGCATTATTATGACACATGTTACGCAAAGCCAAGTACGAATATATCTATCATTTATATAGCGAGACTCGAATAGGCGAGCAACTCTATTTTGTATTCATTATCTTTTTTGAGACGCGGTCATGGCAAGTACTATAGAGACATCAAGCGTGAAAAACCCGCTAATTATTATTGATAGAAAATTACTCCGCGTATCCTCCACAAGGCGTGAATCACGAACGTGAACATAGCAGAATTTTTTTCCAGGCGGCGGTATATATTAACGCCTCCACACCGTCTGGAAAAAGTTTTGCTAACGCCTATATGTTCACGTTCGTGGTTCACGCCTCGTGGAAGCCCGACGCAATTCTCTATCAATAATAATTAGCGGCAATCGTTATCTCTTTGTAGCTGTGTTACTTATGGCCATCTGATATTTAAATCTTGATTTTTACAGCAAAGGCGCTAGTACAAAGTCACGATTATTGTCCGCGAATGATTATTAATAATTAACAATGAACAATTTGTGTTGA